GGCCTACACGGAAGCCTGCCCCGGCCGGGGGCTTTTCCTGCGCGCCAGTGGCGTTGTGTCAAACCGGCCCCCCGGCCGCCCGCCGGCGCTGCTCGAAACCGCGGCCCCGCTCCGCTAGAAAAGCCAGAAAACCTTGTTATCTTAGGAGTTTTGTTAGAAAAGATTTGCTGTGGGGAGCAGCTCAGTGGTTTAGGGAGTGGACCCGTGAGAGTATGTGATGTTGTTGCCGTGGGCCTTGCTTTCACTAGAAGAAATAATTTTGCTTACAGCATTTAAAAAAAGAAAAATTGAAGTTAGCTGATTCTGGGCCAGACACAGGCATGGGCGACTGGGGCCCAGACAGAAATTGGTCCTGAAAATGGTAATTCTTTGATGATGATCATTCACTCAGGCAAAGGGGGGCGTGATACTAAAAGTTCATCTGGTGCCGCTGGGTGTCTAGGTACGGTGCTGCCGACTAAGGACAAGGATGGATTATGGTTGCCATTGCTGGCTAGTTTGGGGTAAACACTGTTGGGACTCTTGATGAACATTTTACACTGTCGGAGCAGTGGGAATGGCTCACCCTGCCTGTGTTGACCGGTCAGGTGATGTGATGTTGATTGTGATTTGCTTAGTTGTTAAAAGTCATGTAAGCATAATTACATTTTTCTAGTGAGGCAAGCCCTAATGTGGAGATTATCAGTGATTTAAAACCTGGGGAGGTTTTGGATAAGGTTGAAGAAGGGAGCAGCACTGCTTGGTGTGGGTGTATGTGCTCTTGTTCAGACTCCTTTTGCCTCTAGACCAATACGGGCACAAGCTGGATACCTGACACTTGTTGGTAGGTGCCTTTTGAAGGCATCACGTTTCAGTGGTGTTAAATAACACCATATTTACTTGAATATGAGTTGAGGTTTTCCCCTTGATCAGCATGGGAGAAAAAGCCCCTCATCTTACATTTGCATACAAGGAAACCTCATAAAATACGTTCTTTCATTAAACTGCTACCAAAAGCAGCACACGCTCAGTAATGGAAACCAACTGTGAAGTTGATTAAATGCAGCCAGCACTGAGCATGACTATAACACATGGTCCATATTGGGCAAAGATACTTATGGAAACTGTTTTTGTGTGGCCTTTTTTTTTTTTTTTTTAAGTCATTTGTTCCCCCAGGAGGGAGGCCTGGAGGTGCTGGAATACCAGGCCTGCACTCAAAGAGCCCAGAGCAAGCTCTGACACTGGTTCTAGCACAAGAATAGGTTAGTGCCGCCTATCTGAATAAAATATACTATCCATGTTCAGTCTTTGTTAGCGTTACCTCTGTTTCAGGTCATTGTGAGCCACTATATTGCATACATTTCAACTTCCTCTTAATTCCCACAGCTGAGTTGTCCCTTTCTTTCCCATTTTCAATGATTCCTGTTTCTTCACCAAGCTTAAATGTCTGACAGACCTCACCAAAAAGTTCAACCAGAATCCTTCTGTTGGCCCTTCTTCTCCGCCTGTCACACATGATTATTGTGGGCCTACTCCCCCTGAGGTGGAACTGGACTAGGTTGCCTTGTGCCTCAACTACATATACATTTTTGGAGGATACCAAGACTTGAGATACCTGGCTCTAGTCATGAGATGGGGACTAATTAGCAGGCCGATCCTTTGTGGAGGCTATCTGGAGTATGCACACATACTGAGCAGTGCTGAACTACTGATAATGCTGGATCCCAGCTCAATGAACCACATGGTAAATCATCAGCCTTTTAGCTTTGGACTAATATCATGCATGGTTTGCAGGATATTTAAGTAGATACAAAAGTGTTGCTTAAAAGGGTGTTTATGAAGCACCTGTGCTAAAAAACTTTCAGCAGTTTCAAAAAAAGGTAAAATGAATTAGTTCTGGGTGAACTAAGTCTGTGGACACTCATAGTAATTTGCCTATATGCAAGTTACTACAGGTATATTTATTTAAAAAAAAAAAAATCAATGTTTTCAGATTTGTTCCTCATTTCCATGTGCTCAGGGAAAACAGGGTCTGATAGTAGGGGGTGGGTGGAATGGGAAAGGAACTGAGGGGGGAAGAAGTTGTGGGGGCAGAGAAGCCCCCCAGATTTAAAAAACTTTCCCTGCTGCAGCAGTGGGAGGAAACTGCAAGATAAAAGTAAAATTATGTTATTGAAACAGAATAATAATTGGGTAGCTAAAAGGTTTTTAGTCACAACTTCTTAGAACCTATTTGTTTTTATCAACCCTTTAACTTTGACTACTCAATTTTTTTTGAACGGATGGGTTTGTTCGTTTCAGCCCCTCTGCCTCTTTAATCAAAGAGTAAGAACCACAACATGCTTCACTTGAGCTGTTTGACAGATCCTCAAACAAGATCAGAGTGATGTGTTCTTGATCACGAAACAGCAAAATACCTCTGAAGTGACTTATAGTTAATCCCAGCTCTTTTCCCTTTGTAATTCCTCCTTTAAATCAAGTTCTGCCTCAATTATGTTGAAACCTATGGTGGTCAAGTGTTCAATTAGCATTTCATATAACTAAAAGCTTAAACTAGAAGAATACTGTTATTAGATCAATTTCACTTACATACCCGCCCTTGCAGCAATAAGATGAGTTGCCTTGTTGGGATCTTCAGCACTCAATACTAGGTTCTTCACAATCTTAGCACCAAGTGCTGTAGCATGGTAATGTTCCCGTGTTTTTTCTATGGGAAAATTTGTAGGATAGAGTCCACTAAATAGTACAGTTACATCTGCCAACACCTTGCTTTTCAGTTCTGGCACTATTTTCCTGATGTCAGGAATTTCTTCAATCTCTTTTTTCAAGAATTTATCATATTTTGTGTAATAATCGGTGTGTACCCGAACAAGTATCTCTTCGAGGTATATTAAATGATCATCTTGATCTGTATCTTCTTCTTCTTCCTCCTCTTCCATACTCTGGTCTAAAGATTCACCCATTGTAATCCCAGATTGTTCACTATTTTGGGACTCTGTTTCAGCTTCCTTCTTGTCTGCACACCCATTTCCTAGATCGCAAAGGCTGTCCTGTTCACTTTCTTCTTGCACTACAAGATCAATTGTCTTTTCATGAGGATTTATGCTAGATGGACACTTTGCATCCCCAGAATGGTTCACCTGACCATCCTTTCTCCCACTGACATCAGTGCAACTTTCTTGCAGGAAACTTTCATCTTGGGTAGGTTGCTTTGACTTCTTCCAGCTTCTCTTTTCCTCATTTTCACTATCTGAGGCAGAAGTACTGGATGACTTCCTAGCATCTAAACCACTGTCACTTTCACTGTCACTAGAAAGTTCAAAGTCCAAGTCATTTGCTGCCTTTTCTTGGGTCTGCTGCTTGTTCAGAACTGTCCTATCATCTTGTTCTGGTGAAATCTGAGGCTCCTTAACAGTCACCAAGTCATCAGTCACTATACTGTCCGCTTTGTGATCAGTAGTATCGCTTAAGGAATCTTGCACGTTAACTTTATCATTGGAATTCAACCCGCAGTTGGTAGATTCATTGCTTACAAAGTCACTACCATTTGTAGTACAAGTTTCCTTTGCAGAATTCTTGAGACCATTACTTTGCTCTTCCACACATGTAACAACATTCTTTGCTTCTTCAGAATCTTTTGCTGTTACCATTGTTGTATCTGATCCTTCTGATGTTTTTGAAGAATGATTCACTAAAACACAAAAAGAATAAAAAGTTTCCCATTTATCCTTCCAATTAGATTTTTATGAAACAATAAAAAGCTGTATCATTCTCTCACCTACAAATTACTCTATTTACTCAAATATAAAATGACCCTAAACATAGGATGATCCCTAACAATTAGATTCTATATATGGAAAATGTATTCATTTATTATAATTTTCTAGGTACAGAATTTAATTATTGGGGAGCTGCCATGAATTTGTAACCTTCCCACTGCTACAGCAGGAAAAATAAATCTGGGGGAGGGGCAGTTGCCCCTTAACTTCTTCCCTCTGCAGCCTTCCCCACCTTGCTGTCAGACCCTGCTCTCCCTGAGCACATGGAAGCAAGGAGCAAATTTGAAAACACTGACCTTTAAATACGCATACCTATAGTAATTTGCATATAGTACACATAGACTAAGTTCATCCAGCATTAACGCATTTTATTGTTTCTTGAAACTGCTGCAAGTTTTAGCACACATACTCCACAAACACTTTAAGCAGCACTTTTATACCTACTTATATACAGTATGAACTGTGCATGATATTAGTCCGAAGCAAAAGGTTCATGATTTACCATCACTAGGCTGGGCCCCAGCAGTCAACAGCATTTCAAGCCTAGTCCAGCTCCATCTCATGGAGGGTGGGGCTACACTAATATGCAAAAGACTGAGAGAAGGCAAGAGAGATTTTGGTTGAGCTGTTTGGGAACCCCTTTGCTGATGTTTACCAGGCATTTAAGGCTGGTGAAGAAACAGGCATCATTGGAAAAGGGGAAAAAAAGGGTGCAGGTCAGCTGTGGGAGTGAAGAGGAAGTAAAAATATACTCAGTGTAGTGGCTCACCACAATTTGAAAAAGCATCACCACTGAGAGGGACTGTCACAATGGAGACTGAAACATCTTATACAAATAGGCTATCCTAACCTTAGTGGTAGGTTCCCTTCAGTTTGGCAGGCATCCTATGTGCAGGCCCAAATCCAAAAGCTTAGGGTTAGGATGCCCCAAACTTTTGCTTGCTCTCAGCTGTAAGGCTGCAAGAGCAAGCTAGGGAGGTGTCTCCCATTTCCATGATGTGGGCATAAATCTAAGATCTTCCCATTCAAGTAGCAAGTGAGAGATTAACTATACATTACCTCTGCAGGTACTACCCCAAGCCAGAAAAGCGGTTACCCGCAGTGACTAGGAAAGGCCCCTTAGTGGTCGTGGTATTTCCCCTGCCAAATATCTGAAGCCCCAGGTGGGGATGGAGGCTGTTTGCTGGTTGTAGGGCCACTTATGGTTCTTGACTGACTCATGGATTTTGAATTTATTTGGCTTGGAATACGAAAAATTTTCATATTTAAAAAAAGGTAGGTTTCCTTCAGTAGGGGCCATGTTTTGTAAGTTATGTTCTGTGTTGGCTGTATTTAATCAACTTTAGAGTTGGTTTCTGTTACTGAGCACATGCTGCTTTTGACAGCAGCTTAATGACAGACAATGTACTTAATGAGATTTCCTTGTTAGCAAATGCAAGGGGAGGGGTTTCTTCCCCCCAGCACTGATGGGGGAGAACCTCGTTTTGTATTTAAATAAAAACAGTAATTGTCTATATATACACATTGGATGAAACATTTAAGTGCAAATTCAACATTCATAATTGGGATTTGGTAAGAGGTCTTAAGGGACATCAGGAGGCCAACTTTTATTAAAAGTGCGATGTCTAGCTACCTTTAGACCCTTTTGAAAAATTCAGTTTATACCGCTCTCATCACCACACTGTCCAGTTGACTAAAAGTATTAAGTTCTTGTTAGACATATTAGTATTATTCCTCTTGAGAAGGTAACCTACAGCCTGAAAAGGGGCTGATCCATTCCACATTTTATTAAAAGGGTGACGATTCCCTGCTTCCTTCCCAGCCATCAGATTCATTCTGCCTTTTACAAATAATCAGCCAGATCCCCAACTCAGCTTACTCTGTCCAAGGGCTGACCCCACTGCACTATCTGCTTACTATTGCCACTTAATTCAAGTCAAGTTAGTCTTGAGGCCGCTGCAACCATTGGGGCACCTTAAGATGCTGTAACAAGTCTCCTAGGTTAGTTGAATTGTTTTGTACCATTGATGATTCTTTGGGCAGAGTAACATGGTGGTACCCATCTCCTCTCTAGGCATGGATGGCCGTTGGCTCACAGGGAGCTCATCCACCCTTTGACGGGTCTCATTTTAAGTGCTGCTGCATGCCCACACACCCTCCTCACTCAGGCAAGCCCAGGTGGGGGCACTGGTTTAGTTACCGACAACCCGACCATTGAATAGGCTGTACTGCTTTACATGGTACCAGATAGCAGATCAAGAGACTCCTGGCCTGACAAGGGCCACTTAATTAGCCAATCCAAACTGCTGTGCATCATACTTTTTGGTGGTTTTGTGGGTTGTGTGGGGTGGGGGGGGGGGGGGGGGTGCGGGTGCGGTAAGGGGGACGTGATGAAAGAGCAGCCCTCTGCATACAGCAGGTACAACTAGAGTGGCAACAGGAAATTGGAAACCTGCAGTGGCAGCCAGTTACAAGTACTAGCTGACTCTCAGAAAAATTGCCAGGGATTGCTACCCTCTGAGCTAGCATAAAAAAAAAAAAAAAATCAAGTGTTTATCTCAAGGTCATATAGGAAGTCTATGCTATGGCAGTACAACAGAACAGTCAACAAAACTTAAGTTCCACCTGAATTTTTTACTTGCCAGTTTTTCATTATACTTTAGAACACTTTAAAAACTGAAAAAAAATATCCTAATAAAGATAGGCTAATCAATCCCTTTATTATTGTGCCAGTGAGGTTAAATGAAGAGAGCAAAGGGCAGAAAAAAGAATAAGTTTTTAAACACCTTTCAGAAAAGAGAATCTGTAAATGTATCTGTAACTAGAGAAAAAGATTTATCATCTAAATGACTATTTAGTTCTGCATCAAAAACAATATTAAGGGTGGAATTATGAGCAGAGATTTCCATCCTTTATGAACAAAATGTGGTAATGTAACTTGACTGATTATTGATTCACACTGCCAGTTAAGCATAGTGATCTCACACTTTAGTGCACAGAGGGACTACATAAATTAGACTGCTGATGCTGTTTAAGTTTAACTATACTAGCTACTATATATACAGATAACTATGTCTATATCTATTGAGAGAGATGGATCTCTCTCTCTCATTAAGTATACTGTAAATCTCATTAAGTACAAGGTAATAAATAAATGTATGTAAGTGGCTGAAAAGTAACCTACCAGGCACTGGCTTTTCACCCCTATTTAGCTATCATTTTTCAAATTACTTAAGACTGCTAAACTTAAAATTCTGGTCTTAAATGCAAAAGGGGACACATTTGATAGACAATGAAATACAATCTTGCAAGGAAATTAATTGTATGCCTAAAATTTGCTTGCTTCCCAACTAACTCAGTGCCTTTGCCATCAGTGCTTTGAGGACTTGTTAGGTAAGTGCTAGTCCCTGAATGCAGATATACTACCCCAAAGCTGTGCTTTTACCAGCCCAGCTAATTCCAACTGTTGCTGCTTCCTTCAGCAAGATAAAGCTTTAACCAGCAAGAGAACAAGTCTGCCAGGAAAATTATATCTGCATTTGGGGGCTTTTGCTGACACAGCTATGTTGGTCACACCTCTGACCAAAAGAATTCTGTTGGCAAAAGCCCTTCCCCCAATCTGTACCCCCCAGTGTAAACATATGATGGAAAAGCAATTTATAATGCAGAGTTACCCTTCTTTCTCATTTGGGCTTCTCTTGGTCCAGGTGGTGCATTGATATCTCCAATCCCCTGGAAATATACATATTTCTTCACAGTTATCAAATTGGGTGCAAACTTCCAAACATCTTCTCTGTCATCAATAATGCAAACCATGGAATCCCCACATGGGAAGAGATTCCTAAAAGAAGAGTGGTTTGTTTTCATTACCCAAAGACACTTTTGGATGAAACGCACAACTAATCAGAATATTAACTACCGTACGCATTATAGGCTACAGTAGGAGACAGAAATGACCAAGCAAGAGAATGTCACAAGGCATGAACCATTTTTGGAAAACTCAAGAAAGATGGATTGAAAAACTAAGATAAATGTTGCAAGGTCACTTTGAGGTACATTTAGTGGTTTGATGACAGACAAAGCTAATTTTAGACAAGATAAAGCTTAAAGAGGGGATAAGAACAGGCATATACATATTGATTAGAATGGTACCTATTAAGAACATTTTTTGACCTTATTTAGTATGGTTTTTTGATATTTTAGCCAAGCCATAAAATATAAAACCAGGTCTACTTTGGAATGTTTGCTTTTTGGTCTTGAACTACAGTTCTTGCTGAATTGTCCATCTGCAAGCATACCTAGTTAGTGCTATTTAGCAACCTAGTTTTTGAAGCCTTGGTAAGAAGTT